GGGGGGGGGCCGGCGGGCCGGGCCGGCGGCGGAGACGGGCGAGTCCCGACGGAACAGAGATGCAGGGGAAAAAAACCGCCAATAACACTTTAATAGAGTTCTGTGAAAATCTGGCTAGTCGCTACCAGAATACACATTTATAAGCCATAAATAAAGCATACAGAAACGATAAATTAATCAGATCCAAGTAGTTTACTCTCCCGGTAACATCAAGCGTTTGTTTCAATTACAACGATCTATCCTGACTTTTTTTTTTTTAAGATTTTTTTTCGTAGTTTTTTTTCTCCCCCCCCCCCGCCCCTCTTTTCCCCCTTTTTACAACGTTACAAGACTTTTGGTCCTCGGATTCAAAACTAGCATGGGTTTCACAATGAAAGAGGGTTTCGTTTTGTTTGTGGTTTGTTTTTTTTTCCCCGTCACTTCCACACAAAAAAATAGATATATTTATACCTCCTTGCGACGACGACAACGAAAAAAAAAAAAGCCCAACAGAAACCCCCCTCTCCCCGTCCCCTCGCCCCCATCCCGCCCCTCCCCACCAAATCAAACCACCCCACAAGGCAAACCAAGGGAATCGCAGCCCCCCCCGGACACGGGTGGCCTTGGGCCGGGGGCGGGGGGGATGACCAACACGCCTGCCCTCGGCGCGGGCCGAGATGCTTGCAAGACACACGGCTGCTGTTTCCCGAACCGATGCAAACATCTGGAGCCAACGGAAAAAAAAAATAGATAGATATATATATATGTACCGTGCTCGATAGCGTTCATAGTCCATCGCGCTGCTAGGGGGCTGCGGGAGGGTGCAGGGGGGGGTTCCCCGCTCGCCAGGGGAGGTTTTCCCCTTGCCCCTTTTAGGAGGAGTTCATGATGGGCCGAGAATACACACCTTGGTAGTAAGAAGTCTCTCCGGCTAAAGGGGAGGACTCTAAGCCGTTTTTGTTCGTTACGGGCCCCATGGCCAGGCTGCCAGGCATGGGCGAGGCGTAGCCCGAGTAGTGCATCACCTGCTCGTAGGCCTTCAGGTCCATTTTGTGGTGGTGGTGGTGGTGGTGGTGAGGGTGGTGGTGCTGCTGCTCGGAGGAGGACATCAGGTTGTTGATGGAGAAGGGGTGGTTGAAGGCGTAGTGGTGCTCGGGCTTGAGGTGGGCATCGTGGGGCAGGCCGGCGTGGGGGGGGGCCAGGAGGTGCTGGGCCGGCGAGGCCGCCGGCTCCCCGGGGCTCAGCCCTGGCGTGCCCTTCAGGTCGGCCAGGGCGCGCTTGTGGTCCTGGCACGGCGAGGCGCTGGC